GCTGTGCTGTGACAAATACCTAAAAGTGTGAAGTAGCCTTGGGATTGGGTAATGGATTGAGGCTGGAAAAATATTGAGGAGCATTATAGGAAAAGCTGAGATTGCCTTCAACAGACTACTAGTAAAAATGTGGATGCTCACCTTGCCAGAGAGAACTCAGGAGGAAATAAGCAACATAGTACTGGAAACTGGAAGAAAAAGGGGATGTATGATGGCAGAAAGCTTAGTAGAATTGTGTTCTCTAGTTATATGGAAAGTAGAACTTGGAAGTAATGAACTCAAATATTTAACTGAGGAGACTTCCAAGCCGAGTGTTGAAGCTGTGGCATGGTTTCTTCTTGCTTCTTAGAGTAAAATGTGAGAAGAAAGAGATAAAATCGTGGAAAAACTGTTAGGCAAAAAGGATCAAGATTTGATCACTTGAATCTGTAGGAAGGAATAAGGCACGTCGGAAGTGGTGAATGTGTCAGTAAAAATAAGAGGCTATTCTGTCCCTCTTAGTTTATTTAAAATATAAATAAGCATTTAAAGGAAAATCATTATATTGGATTGTGGACTTTATAATATGTATAAATGTATGAATAATAAAGGATGGGGGAGTAAATGCACCTACATGGTTACATGCTTTTTATATTTTATGTGCCATGGTACTACATTAACTTTGACTCGAATGTGAAAAGTTAAGGATGTCATCCCTAGAGGACTCATCTAAAAATAATTCAGAGAAGTATACCTAAAAAAAACCCTGTGGGTATAAGTGAATATCAACAGAGGTTTAGGAGAACACAAATTTATGTCACTAGAAGAGCTATGGAAAGAAATCAGCCACCTAATTTTCACAGTGCAATGGGAAAGAGATATTTTTGTGTTTTCTAAAATATTTATGAGCTCTATGGCCTTAAATCTTAGCAAAAGAAATTTGAATCTACTATAATAAATATTGTAAGGCATGTTGAATATTGTACTCTATATGAGTGCAGAAAATGGCTTATGTGGCTCTTTAGGTTAAAGTCAATAATGATTGTTGGGATATTAATGGAAATGTAGCTCTGCTAAAAGTAATCATTTTGATTGTTTCTTCTAAGAAAAGATTAAACTTGTCATTTCTAGGAGATAAGATTCTTCACTCTAACTCTTAGGGCTCTATTTCAAAATTTAATTACTTAGGCTTCATTCAAAATAGATTTAGTATTCACTCGTACAAAGAGTAAAAAAAAGGATATGAAATAAACATATTTATATGAAAATTAACATGCATCTACTTCCTAGTAAAACCAGTGAAGCCATCATCTTAATTTTCTGCCCACAAGCAAAAGCCAAAATTTCATACTTTTTAAGTACAGTGGGCTTTGAATTGATATTATTATTTTATACATAAGTCAGAGTAAATCACTCTGGCAGTCTCTTCTGTAACTATTTAGTCAACTCTTCACTTACATCATTATGAGTCCAGAGGTTTCTAGGCAAAACATTTAAATATTCCAATCATTATGCCATGTCCTTATGTATGCAAACAAATGCTGCACTGTGACTGAGATAAACTCAATATTCTGTTTTCATTCTAAGTCGGGATCATAACACACTAAAAAAATGGATATCTCAATCTGTAATATTTACTATCTCACTAGTATTGAGAGGGAAGAGTTTAATATAAAATTCAATCTATTAGTTTATCAAAGATTTAGGGACTTTGAATCTAGGGAATAATAACAATTGATAAAGGCAAAAAAAAGGACAGATGCCAAAGAAGGAAGTATGTCTATGAACTGATCTGGCCTGATACTAGTTCCATAGAGAAAGGACAGTGAAAGAATTCCTAACTCAACCTAATGTTCTCCAAAAATTACAACCCAATGTATGTTATGCCTCAGTGAAATAAGAACATAAACTGTAACCCAGTATTTCAATGGTACTCATGTAGTCACACATTATAGGAGTACCCTCATATTTACCAACTGGTATAGTAAGTTACAAAGTAGTTATTGGTTTCAATCTAGAAAAGAGAGTTGATTTCACAACTCCCTATATTTCATAAAAATTTTTCCACTTTTCACTTTAACAGTGCATGTTATCTAAAATATTATCATGCAAAATAACATAAAGATTATTATGGTACACATTTCTCAGCAAAGTTCTATATCTATGCAGTGCATTTAAAATTTTTCTCAGTTACATTCAATGTCAAATATACTTCGCTAAGCGGTCACATCTGAAAGGTTACATCCTTAATAACCACATTTTTAGTGTGAATTAAGTGTTCACGTTGCTCTGTTTTTTGTTGTTTTTGTGTTCAGTTTATAATCTATTGGTTTTCTAATGAGCTATCAATTTAGGCCAAAGCATAATAAATATACGTGATAAGTATATATTATAAGTACTAACCACTTAAGCAACCATATATAAGATGCAACTTTGGGTACTGCCAGCAGTGAGAAATGAAATCAGTAAAACAGTAGAACAGCATTTACTTTAATTGCAAAATTAATTGTGCAGGACAAAATTTCAGGAGTTGATAGAAAGAGGAGTGGCCTTCATGTGAAAGCACCTGTTGAGCTGGGCAGGAGTGAAACAACTGTAAGTATATAAAGGTGTGGTTTCTCTGACAGAACTACGAGTGGTGCAGAACTACTTCCCAGGGCAGTGCTGGTTAAACGCAATGTGCTGAACCAGCTTCCACGGATCTTGCTAGAATGTGGTTCTGACTTAGCAGATCTGGGCTGGGCAACAAGCTTCCTGGTGGTGCCAGTGATATTGCCCGAAATCCACACTTAATTGCAGTTTACATCCCAACTCCTTTCCAGCTCCTCTTTCCCACAGAAGATAGATTTCTACTGCTAGGTGGCATATTAATAGTGACATTGTTTTAGGCAGGAATTTACCTTTGGAAATAAATATGAGAGTAATAGATTATGCAATTCTCCGGCTGCCAAACACAGAAAAAACGTTTGCTTCCCTTAAGTTGTGGCCCCAGTGATTCCTTAGTATTGTAACTGTGAAAGCCAATCAATATTATATGGCTTTAGGGATGACCCCTTTGGTGGTTCCATTGTAAAAGCAACATTCAGTTAATACCTCATTCCTGTTATCTGTGGAGAGACATACTGCATACCAGCTGTTTGGGTTGGCCAGTTTCCAGAAACCTGGGTCCGGCCAATTGAGCACACAATATCTTTTTGGGCTGACGGATCATTTATATGAGACTAATGTGCTATAGCAATGAACAACCATAGTATATTCCTCTGACAAAATTTATGAAACTCATTGAAGGAAATGCACTGTTGAAGAGGTAAATTCATAAAAACCTTAGCATTGTAACTGTTTGTCTCAGTCTGCAATTTTTGCAGCCTCGATTTGCAAAGAGACTAGAAGTGGTTTGACCCTTACAGAGTTAAGTGCTGCCTTTCATTGTAAATCATCTTTCTGTTATTCTTAGTAAAAATACCATGCTTGGCTTTAGTAAAAAGGAGGAGGTCTACACAAAATATCCCATCACTGTCAAAAAACACAAATATCCATCTTTCTCAGATAGAATTAATTTTACAGGTGATTGCAGGTGCTTGAAAGAACTGAAACCAGATCCACAAATACTACACTTTAGGGTTCCAAATAGAGATAATGACATCTAAGAAAGCTCATGGGGGACAGGAGATTGGAAAAAAATCTTTAAGAAGCAAAATATGGACAGGCAAAACAGTGAAGTGAAGTGGAGGGTGTTTCATGTTGGCAGAAAGACAAAGCAGTAGCAAAGGATACTATTATCATCCTGGGCCAACCAGTGCAACACACTGGCTGATGGTGAAGTTTTTACTGATTAACTTCAATACAGAGGGTGAGGACTGAGCAGACATTCATAGGATCACAAGCCATAGTCAGGTAGGCCTGCTGAGGCTTGGGCACATGCCCGAGGGGCACAAACGTTCACAGTGCTCTGTATGTTACTTTGCTCAGTGAAAGTTGTATACTCACACTTTACATGTTGGGCATATTTAACAAGCCTTAAACCCCTTTATCTGCAAAAAAACTTTTGAGGTTTACTGAAATAATTAGACCAGGGCCTGAGTTTGGGTGAGGGAAGAGAAAAGGTTATGATTCCTTCTCCTCTTACTACTGTATTCCACACAAAAGGAGAAATAGAGTAACAGTACACTGCAACATTTTTTTGTTTCTTCTTTTATATTAAAGCATTAGAATACTGAAGAAATTTAGTTTAATAATAAAAGTAATAGTGACATTATCATCACACCTTGTGGTAGACAGAATAAGAAGCCCCAGAGATGCCCATGCTCTAATACCCAGATCCTGTGTGTATGTTACTTTACATGTCAAAAAGGATTTGCAGATGTGATTAAGGGTACAGATCTTGAGA